AACTGCCAAACTACAGACCTTCTGGTCTGCAGTTCAGCGTCTTATCCTCTGAGCCCTATATTCCTTTTACCTTTGGTCAAAATATCGTGCTGCATGGATTCCTCCCCTCCCCATCACGCTCATGTTAAGAAAAGCTGGATCTGTCATTAGTTTGGCCCCGTTTTTGCTTCTAGCTATTCCAAGGGCCTGTGCATGCAGGTGCACGTGTGTTCCTCTCCATTCATTTTCAGATTTTATGGTACATTTTCAATAGCGAAAGATTATCTCCAAGCCTCTTTATGCCATCTATAAAACCCTGAGCTTGGTGGCTCAGCCTGCTCTTTTCCAGGTCGTGGGATGGCTTTCGTTCGGAACATCTTTGCAATGATCCGACTGCAGCTGCTTTGGCTGGGCGAATGGGCCAGGGAGTGTAGAGACAGTTTTCAATCAACAGAGCAATATTTTTCCCCTCCTATGGGAAAATGTCACTTGTCAATCTAAAATAGAAGAGAATGACTGCTCCTACGAACTGGGTACAAGATGTTGTTTCCTTGTCCGAGGGCTTGCCAAATAAAAAAGGAAACGTGCATGTTGTTTTGTATTCCCCATTTCCATGAGTGGTAAAAAGAATTCCAGGGGTAGCCCGTGAGATTAAGGGATGTCAAAGCTAAACTAGTTTGGTGTAGTGGTTAAGTGTGCGGACTCTAATCTGGGAGAACCGGGTTTGATTCCCCACTCCTCCACTTGCACCTGCTGATGTGACCTTGGGTCAGTCACAAGCTCTGGCACAGCTGTTCCTGAAAGAGCCGATTGTGTCAGAGTTCTCTCAGCCCCACCCACCTCACAGGGTGTCTGTTGTGGGGAGGGGAAGGGAGAGGAGTTTGTAAGCCACTCTGAGACTCCAAGTGAAGGGTGGGGTATAAATCCAATCTCTTCTTCTTCTTCTTCTTAGGCCCGTTCTGCATCGAGCATTTGCCCCGCTGTTTTACCAAACCCACACTGGCACAGAAAGAGATGTGGCTCAAAACCACATTCAAATACCCCGGGCCAATGCCGGCCATAAAAACAGCCACAAATCAATGCAGACAGTACCATAAAATGAAGAGTTCAAATGAAGTGAAAGCGGCATGCAGTCTGGACACTGCCATAAAATCCGGCAGTCGGTCAAAATGGCATGCAACGCAGAGGGGGAATTTCTGTTCCAATGTGGGATCGGTAAAACAGAGGAGCAAATGCTAGATGCAGAATGAGCCTGAGACTTTTGCAACTGGACAAATGTCCCCATTACATCCCCGAGATGCATCCCGCACAAGAAATAGTTTGAATGATCCCATGAGCTCTCCGATTCTGACCTCATCCCCAAGGAGGTCTCAGTGCCTGTGCAGTTCAAACTGAATCCCCTCCTTCCTTCCCTTCTTGCCTCTTAGCTCATCCCGTCCCTATCCAGTCCTCTGCCGCCTGGATTGATACCCCTCGGGCTTCTCATAGTTCTCCCCCTTTATTTCCTTTGATCCAAACTCCCTCCCTCTCCTCCGAGCCTTGTCAGTTATTTCATTTTTTGCCCCTTTTGGCCCAACCTTGATATTTTTCTTTTCTCCTTGGGTGGATTGGTTCGTTGCAACAGCCAAGAGGGGAAAACACAATTTGCGGTCAAACCGTAACTGGCCACTAGTTTAAAATCACTACAATGTTCCACTGCAATGGGATACTTCCATTTCTTACAGTAAGGCCAAATCTGCATCTAGCATTTGCTCCACCATCTTAGCAAACCCACACTGGAACAGAAACTCCCATCTACATTGCATGCCACTTTCACTTTGATGGATGGTTGAATTTTATAGCAGCGTCCAGACT